AATCAAAACTTATTATTTATAAAATTGCTAGATTTCTACTTGATGACTATCTAAATTAAACACAGGGTTTGGATTCTCGGCGATGTGGACAGCCTTTTGGATGTTAGGCGAGGAGTGCATAAAACTGGACAATAGGATTACATCCGTATTTAGTTTGATGGCCGGACTCTCCGGGTTTATAACTCCCTTCATAATCGGGAATCTAATTGAAAAACAGCCGCAAGTATTCCTATACTTAGAGTTCGGGTACTTTGGCTTAACTGTCGTCTTGTTTTTGATTTTATTGTTTACTATTCATAAACTTTCCCAAAAAACTCATTTGTAAATGAATTTTACTTTCATTTTCTTATATGTGATGTCAAAACATAGCTATTAAAAGTAATGAATTGTAAAAGTAATTTATTGTATAATTTTTATTGATTTTACATATAGTATATGTTATATACTGTATTTGCTTTTCTATTTTTGAGTTTAGCACAAAAATATTTTAAAATTAAAAAAATTTATTACCTTATCAATAACTACTTTATAAACTTAATTATTTAGCAAATTAATAAATGACACGTATTTTTGTATTCATACTACTAGTTATCAAAATAAATAAGGTGAATAATGCAACAAACATAGCTTATTACAAGAATCTATCAAGAATGCCACCTTCATACGTGTCATGCGCCAGAGTGTGTCATAATTTTATTTGATAATCAGAACATGTGTTTTTAACAACATTTGAAAAGTAGTATTAAAAGCGAAACATTTTATAAATAATTATTAAATTTACTTCAAAATCAAGTCATGACTGAAGACTTGGCTAAACGAGTGGCCGCTTATAAGGCGGTCGACAATCACGTTAAGGTTTGCACTTATTATCTATGCATTGAAATGACCTGTATCAGTCAAAATTATATTGATATTACAACAGAATGGACATATTGTGGGCATCGGCAGCGGGACCACAATAAAACACGCCATCCGTCGCATCAAACAAAACCAATTGGACGTCAAGTGTATCGCCATTAGTCTAGAAGTAAGTTATTTAACATTTAATACAAGAATATTCTGATAATAACGAGTATTTTTGTCAAACATTTAAGGAAAAGGAGTTATTAGCGGAAAACGGCATTCCCTTAACGGATCTCCAGATTAATCCAGTGATGGATGTCTTCATCGACGGCTTCGACGAATTGGACGCCGAGACTAAGGCGTTGATCGCCGGCGACTGCGGTCGAGTCACACGCGTTCAACTCATGGCAAACGCCGCCAAACACACCGTTTTCATCGCACAGATGTCTTCATCGACGGCTTCGACGAATTGGACGCCGAGACTAAGGCGTTGATCGCCGGCGACTGCGGTCGAGTCACACGCGTTAAACTCATGGCAAACGCCGCCAAACACACCGTTTTCATCGCACCCATCGCTAAGCTGTCGGAAAGTTTAGGGCGTATCCATACCCGGGGTATACCTATTGTAGTCATACCTATGGCCTATAAATGTGTGGCCAATGAGATCGAGGGTCAGTTGAAGGGTAGGGCTACCCTTCGTATGGTATCGCAGGGATCGGATCATCCGTTTGTTACGGAATGTCATAATTATCTCATTGATTGGCAGTTTGATGGGAAAGGTGTTGAGGGCTATAAATGGGATGATATTTATCGTACCATTAAACTGATACCCGGAGTGGTAGACCTGGGGTTACTGTTTATGAGGGCCGGCTGTTCAACCGCTTATTTAGGTCGTCCGAACGATACGGTCCATACAATTGACGTATGAATTAGTTGTAAAAATAATTATCATGGTAAGAAATTTTAATATTTAAAAAAATGTTCAGTACAATCAATAATTTACAACCAAAATAAAAAGTATTTCTATTATTTTGTATCTTAACTTATATAAAAAGTATTTTAATTAAAGTCTTTGTATTCACTTAATATACGATTCTTGAGGTCTTTGTAGACTTTAAACCTTTTCTCCGCTTTTGCCTTAAAAATTAAAATTATTTTTCAATATTTGAATATTAATTGGGTAAACAATATTTATACTGAATGGTATTTGTGGTATAAGGGAAAAAAGACCTGGAGACTTTTTGTTATAGAGTATAGGAAATATATTGGGTAATTACGTTTTTGAAATCGGAGAAAATGCTCACAAAGCGCACTTAACTAAAGCTGTTTTGTATAGATATCGCCGAAAAGTGCATTCATTTCCGCGATATAGGCGTCAATAAAGGCATACATTTGTGGATCAGTCGGGAAATTATTGGCCCCTAAATCCGTATCCGTTTGACACCAATGTATAAAATAGTCGCCAATATCCAAACCCCTATACATATATCCACTCCAATC